ATTTTAATTTTCTGATGGTTATCAAAAGAATTCCAAAGAAACATTGAAGAGCTAGATGATACCACTATTGAAGCAGTACTGGGAATTGCCTGAAAAAAATCCAGGTCACGTTTACCACGGAAGTCGCGAAACTTAGGATCTAAGAAATGAATTACGGTTAGTAGGTCACGTTTCAGTCAGTAATTTCATAGCTGTCATCGACCGGTGTTTTCGAGTCAAAGTTTTCTCGAATTTAATTGAATGATTTGGTATAAAATAAATTCCAGCTTCTCAGCATTAGCTGATTTTCTCAATGCTACATAAAGCTTATCAATTATGTGCACCCTGATCAGAGATTGGACGGCAATACATCTATTTCGCGGATGGCGAATAAGAGTCGAAATCTATAGGAGTTATTGCACCAAGTACGAGGGCGAGTGGTGATTTTCAGATGTTCAGAAGGGTTCAAGGGCAACCCTCTTCTATGACTGTCAAATGATAAGAAAGCCAAATGCACTTCCAACGGGCAAATTCATTTCTTAAGATCCGAAAAATCTTGAAAGAAACATTTGGTAAATTTCTGATTGAAGCAAACACTGGTCACGTTGTTTAGAAACCTATCGCGTCCTCCGCTCGATTGCTCAACAGCCTCGGGGTTCTTATGCTCTTGAGAAATTAAATAAACTTCGGAATCATAGGGACATCATTCTGATGATTACGAGCATTCACTACTTCAAAAGAATAAATGTGAGGAAAATCCAGGCAATAAGCGTCAATCGCCTACCTTTCTGGCTGAAAAACAGCATCAATCTCGTTACCGCATCAATGTTAAGAATGTCAATGCTTCTATAGTTAGAAAATCTTTAGGACTTTACAATGAGCGTTAGGCAATTAGAGGAAGGAATGACTTCGCGCAATCCTGATGATTTTCTGCCCGAGCATTAGAAAATAACGATTAATTGTGAAAGGCTATTGTCATCTCGTTCGATTAGGAAAGAGAAAAGAGCTGATTTAGCTGATTTATGAGACGGTACACATCTGATGCAACGGAATGGTCCGTTGCCATGCCATTCCATGGGCATGGGTGCAAATAACTGCCTCCTCTCGTTGATTGTTAACATATACCGCCGTCTGTAATAACTGCATTTGTCTAGTGAATACTATGAATAATTTGCTAGTGTAACTTTTGCCAAGGCTGATAAGGTTTACAAATCTAATTGTTTCTCTGAGGTTAAACAACTTAGTTTGGCTAACATATTAGTCGATATGACAAAGTTTATCACCTGTCTGTGTCCTTGTGCCATTGATAATTGAAGTCCCAATTTATAGAGGAACATGCAGACTCGAAAGGAGTTTAAGAACTAGTTCATTTTACTTTATGAATTTGTTGCGTGTGTTATAGAAGGCCATTCATTAATGGCAGAGATGACTTCGTTGTTTCACTTATGTACCTTCCATGTGAATCGCATGCTCACGTTTGTGGAGATCATGTCCACAGAACGAAACGACCTATTAACAATGACATTTGAATCTTAATTAGACAATTATACATCAGCAACGGCATGATCATAGTGCGTAGTCCATAGGTAGAAAAGAATCTATCGCTAATAAATCTATCCATGAAGATTTTAAGACATTTGTCTTATGAAATATTAGGTGGACTGCTGGTTTTCAAAACGGCATAAGTAACGTTTAGACGACAACAACAGTTTTAACAGTCTGTCCAGAGAAAACCACAAACAATATGATTATTGGCTCTTGTGACGTTCTCTACAGGTATACCGATGATGAAGTAGAATGTTTGAATCCGACTCCCATATTCTGGAATATGCTCAATTGGAACTCCGCTGATGCCAATAATCGCCTCAGTTGGAAATATAATCACTCGACGTGACTCGAAATCTCGCATATCATTTTACGGATAACCCTTAAACTAAGCGTATGTTCAACTCACGTCGTGTAACCTTAATGGCTGTCTGATTCTGATCTTCACCACCTCGTATGGTAATACTTCCTTCAAGCATAAAACAGTGCTTCTCCTCGTATATCGTTCGTTTGGCAAAAGTTTCATCAGAGGATCTGTCATCGCTGATTTTATCAGCTTGAAATGCTTTCACCACGAATTCAAATCGGCTTAGAAAGTGGTTGCAAAACGATGTATAGAAAACGTGTTGTTCAACTACAGCTTTCGTCAATGAAAGTATGTGATGCTGTTGCACAGGTGGCAATTTCAAATAGGAACTGCGTTGATGATGGATCGAAAATCAAAGATGTACAATGAAGTTGAAACGATCACACTGAGAAATTAACGTACAAATCATCCTCTGGATCGTGGATAACAACTTATTCCAAGCAATGCAACTTTTCTTGCATTCAAATGGCTTCATAACTCACTTTTTGAGTGCAGCAAAAAATCAAGATTTATTTTTTGGCCAGTTCTTTTCACAATCCCATCAGATATGGAAAACTCTAACAGAAAACATTCATGGAAATTAACGCCATCAAATGGAATTTGATTGTCGATACGCCGGATCATTCAATTAATTAGTAAAAACAAAGTTGAATATTTAAAAAGAATTACAAAAAATGTTTCACAAATAAATGAGATTTCGTCACAGATTTGAAGTTCCGACACAGAGGAATTTTTCTATTCCACATTTGCTTTGCCCTCTGAGTATCTTGAACAGACCCGAAAGTTCATCATATATTCTGCAAAACTGCTGGAAAATTTTTTTTATCAATTTACCTTTATCACCCCCAATATGATCCCGAGTAATTTGTTATCAGGGAATATGGAAAGCCCTGTTCTTCTTCGCACCCATTTATCTGTACTGAATGAAAGCCGGCATTCTTTCCAGTAGTGTGTTTATAAACTATTGGAAATTTCGCGCTAGCTATAAAATTGGTAAACGTCTGTTAATAATAACATAAATCGTTTCGATAATAATATAAATCTTCATACACCTCAGACGATCCAACGATAGGTCTAGAATTCATAATGACTTGTTGAGCGCTTTCCAATGACTGAATCGAAAGCGAAATAATACAATAGTTAACACCCGTAAATGTGATATAAGGATAAATATAATTCCCTGGCGAAGTATCGGAATATAGTGAACTGTTTTATGAATGTGGGTATTGAGGAATGCACTTGTGTTCCATGCACGTTGGGGTACCTCATGGACACCCTTCATAGCATTTCGTATACGGTTGGCATTCATTGGTTGTGTTGTAAGGTCCGCCATTTGGTATTCCCTCTTTCCAGTAGTTGAACGCCCTAATTGGATCGCCACCGTAGCATCTAAATGGAATATTTTGAGCGAGCATTTAACAGCGTGGTAGCTCAAGCAACAATCAGCAACGCAGAGGCACAGATATCCTTAGAGTAGTGGCAGTGAGTGATGGGAGGTGTTGACTCCTTGAATAATCTTGGAAAACACCAAGTGTGCTAATGATTGGGACGTCCTCCTCTCCGATACCTCTGGCCATTCGGCCATCGCTATAGCCAGAGGGAGGCTATTTTCAGCTATTTTCTGAATGGCTTTATACCAGAAGATACGAGACTACCGAAAGTTGAGGGAGTAGGGACAGGAAGCGTGTTACAACCGGTGTCAGTATTATTGAAAGATTCAGTAAAAACACGCACGACAGAGACGTTTCAGAACAATTTACGGATGACAATATAGTAAACTGGATAAGTTTAAAACATTCATTACACTGCTTTAATTTTAAGCGCCCAAGAGCTGCGGAAAAACCACGTTTAATAATAACTGATGAGCGTGATGAATCAAATTTTCAGGTGATGCTGGACGGCTAACTGGAAGAAATTCATATTCTCATTTCTTTGGAGTCGCAGATATGTTCAGTATGAAGCAAATTCATGATAGCATTTCATACTATTGGAGTTCAAGCGATAATGTATCTGACACTAGGAGCAATGCTAGAAATTTTGAATGGGCTACAACTAATAATGAAACCGTCCCCCACCCTCATTATTTCATGCGCAAGAGTGACGGCGAGGCTTCTCCTTCGCTAGAGGATACGTACTGACAGTCACCAGCTAATCAATTATCCTCGAATGCAGATTTTCCATTTGAGTGGCGGAGGAACGAAAGTTAAACCGTGTCGTAAAAGGTATTCAGCCTGTGCCAACGAATGCGCTGCAGAAGGAGGTCTGTAGAGAAACTATCGCGCTGAAGTTCTGGAGTAACTGCCAGATAGGTGCTTTGCGATTCCTTCTTGAGTTCAACTCAGAGATTTCACAGTACATTCAATGCATTCCAGGTCTTCAAACATCATATAGCCGTTGTCTCCTTCAAGGCATCCCCAAGGCGACTGCAAGCACTGGTAGAGTGCGTTTGCGCCGTGTATCAGAAATTGCAATGACATAATTTTCAACGGAACTGGAAATCTTTCATCTGATAGTTACCTCAGTACATCAGGACTATATTTTTTTATAGATCTTTCAAAGCTACACAAATTCTAGTTGCAAATAATACTTATGAGCTCTGTTGCAAGCTGTCTTTCTTCATAACATATATTCCGCAGCAGAAACACCCGT